GGGAGTCCCTGCTGCCCCTCGGCCGAGTGACCGCCTGCCCACCCGCGGGTGACTGGGCCGGCGGCGGCGGCGACGGTGGCGCCATCAGGGGCGTCTGCACTGTTCCGTAGGGAAGTTAACCTGAATTGGAGTTACCGAGGTAGCTGGCTAGGAAACTGAGACCCCCCCCCAAACGCCACGCGGTGCCACCCCACAGGGCCCCCATCTTCCAGGGGGAGGCCTGGCCACACGCCGGGGCTCCAAAAGACCGAGTTATTGCACTTTCAAAAAATACAACACATCTGTGGCTAGACCCTCCCCCGCCCCCCACCCCTGCCTGTCACCCCCCAATCCCACCCGCCTCCTCCCCCCACTCCATGGCTTCTTGGCTAAAACGGCTCGCTGCTCGCGAGGGGTTCCGGGCGAGGGGACACGTCTGCAGAAAGAAAGAAAGCAAAGGAACCGAGGGACGAAGAAGACGTGGCTGTCACCGCAGAGGGCGCCTGCCGCCCGACCTGCAGCCCGGGCCCTGCACCAGCTGGAATGGTCATCGGCAAAGGACACCGCGGCTGTGGAAGGTCCCCGCCCGTGCCCTCAGGCGGAGGCTCTGGGATCGGCTGGAGGCCGGTTCACCTGGTTGAAGAGTCCGATTTTGTGTTTGCTTCGTTTTTCTTTTCTTTCTTTTGTACTTTTCTTTTTTTTTTAACTTTTTGAATCCTCCGCTAGGAGCCCAGAGGTACAGGTGCCAGGAGCCGGGGTCGGGGGCAGGAAACGAAAGGAAGGACAGGGAAAAGAAAATGCGACGGCGCCCCCCTCCGGCCAAGGCCCGCCTTGCCCTCCACGCGGTCAGCACCAGGGAAGTCGAGTGCACGGCAGCGGTCAGCAGGCCGACACCAGGCCCTTCTGGAAAGAGCAGCGACGTTTGGGCCGGGGGCCCTCCTCGTCCTCGTCCTCCTCGTCTTCCTCCTCCTCCTCCTCGTCCTCCGAGGATGACGAGCTGTCCAGCGTGAGGTCCACCACATCGGCACCCGGCTTCCCGTTCTCGGCGCTGCTGACTGTGCTGCCCCCGCCGCCGCTGCCACCGGCCGCACTGCTAACGCCACCGCCTCCGTTGATATCGGGGGCGGAGAGCAGCCCGCTGGCATCAGACGTGCCTGCGGGGCACAAGGACGGGGCAGTCCTCAGGTCCGCAGCTGACCCAGTGGGGAGACGAGGCCAGCGAGGGCCCGGGAGAGCTAGGACGGAACACCCCGGAACGTCCTGTCTGCCTCCCCATGCCAAGGCCGCAGACGTCGGGTCCCTGGCGCCTTGCACGGGGCAGTGCACAGCAGGTGCTCAATGACGGAACAAGCCGAGACAATCCCCAGGTCCAGAATTCCCTGTAGCACCAACCTGTCCTGGTTACCAATCACTGCTACGGCTGCCCCCAGCTGTGAACTGGGGAGGACCCTGGATGGGGGAGACTGCGGCTGGGGGGCCACAGGGGCTTGGATCCCGAGGACCAGCTCCTGGGGCGTGGACAGGGACTCACCGAGGACCAGGATGGGGCACTGGGGGCTGCAGCTGCGCTCCTTCTCGGCGCGGATGGGGCACCATGAGCCATCCGCCAGGAACTCGATCTCGTCCGCGCCCTCGCACTCGCTCAGGATCTTGGAGAGGAGCCTGGGGTGGACAGGGAGGGCGGAGGCTGTTCAGGGCGCGGCCCACTCACCCGACTCATGTGCCCTTCACGAGCCACTGACCCCGAGGAGTAACCGCCACTCTGCACAGCAGCTTCAGAAGCATGCCCACGGGCAGGTCCGGGGGCCGAGGCCGGGGGCCCTGTCCTCCCCTACCCTCGCGTACCATCCTGGGACACCTGGTGGCTGCCTGCCTGCCAGCGGCTCCTGCAAGCACAGGCCAGGGCTTCTCCACGCAGCACCCCGGCACCTCCTGCCCATCCCCCATGGAGCAGCTCCAGCACCCAGGCCGGGTTTCCTCTGTGCCTGCCCCCTCCCCTCGCTGTCCCTGCTTCCACAGGCAGCACACGGGTGCCCAAGAGGTGACTGCTCAAGGATGCGGGCCAGCGTGAGGCCAGGTGGGGGACCTGGGTGGCTCTTGGGATGCCGCGACCGGAGCATCTGGGCACACCGCCCACCCAGTAGATGAAGAAACTGAGGCCGGGGAGCTGTAGCGTGGGACCAGAACGAGGCAGCCTCACTCCTCCCGGTGGGCCTCGTCCCCCAGCGCCCACTGGGGGTCGGCCCCACACGACAAGCACACAAACCACCGCCAGCGGTCTACACCACGAGAAGCAGAGGCACGGGGCTGGGGCCTCATCTGTCGGCTGGGGCTGCAGCCCCACCCCACCACTTCCTGGCCCCTCCTCAGCCTCCTCACCCGCAGGACAGGGCAGCCCATTGTCCCCTGCGGCTGCAAGGGTCTGAGGACTCAGAGACCAGCGCCCAGGCTGAGCCGGTGCCGGGCCCACCTGAGTTCTAACGTTTCCTGGCAAAGCTGCACCTGCCTCCAGGTGCTTCTCCCACCTCAATCAAGGTCCCCACGCTCTGGAGCCAAGTTCCCTCCCACCCTGGCAGCCCTACCCTGCTCAGACTCCACCCCCAGGGTCACCCAGCCCCTCAGGTCACCTCTGCCTGCAACACCTGCTCCCGCAGAGCCCAGGCGCTCTGCCCCCACGCCCCCAGGGTCGGGGATAGGGTCCTTTAGGGGATCTGAGGGACACAACGTGTGAACCCAGGACGCCTCTTCCAGGAAGCCTCCCTGCCTGGCCCCCATGTAGGGCACAGCCCCATCCCAGCCCTGACGCCTTGAGCCATCAGGACAGCTACCACCCCAGCTGAGTGCCCGCTGCAGGCCTGTGGGGGGGAGGGGGGCGGAGCGCGGGCCACACAGCTGCCAGGCTGGGGACAGAAGAGCCATTCAGGCTTGTCCCCAGCGCCCAGCCCCAGGGGCCTCCTCACGCCACCCGAGGCTGGGCAGCACAGGGCAGCAGCTGGGCCCTTCCAGGGAGGGGACCAGGCTCAGGGCTGGCCAGACCTGGGTTCGAGTCCCGGCGAGCTGGGGGGCCCTGGCTGGTGGCTGCCCCCGAAGTGCAGTCTCCTCATCCTTGAAGTGGGATGGTCACCTTCCGACACGGCCGCGAGGGTGGGCCGTGAGGGCGGGCTCACCGAGACCCCGCACACCACGTGCTGGGCACAGACCGGGCTCGAATGTTGGCACGGACTGACATCCCCACAACAAGCCCGCCCTGCAGGTCGAAGGAGCTGTCTACTCCCGCGGCCCACATACCCTGTGCCCGCATCTCGGGTCCCCTGAGGGCCGAGGACGGGGCCGACAGCGCCACACAGCAGTCAGGAGTGTGCCCGCGTCTCGGGTCCCCTGAGGGCCGAGGA